AACTAGACCTTAGTGTGGGGTCATTGCGATTGGGAATCCACTTTAGGGGCAGGGAAGTGGGGGGTGGTGGTGTACTGAATTCTGAGACTTCTTTGTGTGTGTGTTGAGGGCCTCAACAAAACTGAGAAACAGTCCATTGTATCTTTTCATTCCATTTTCCCAAGAACTTTTTGAAGCCGCTTCATGTAACAGGTGTGTCCCTGCCTGCATTTCCTACCCTCCGACCTTTTCCTTGGCTTTCAGCATGCTTTCCGTTCATGAAAATACACGGTGCCCACACAGATTCAAGCAGAAAATAATTGTATGAAGGGTTATTTAGTTTGTTGGATCACTGTTGCCTCTTATCACAAACTCCTGATCTACTAGAAACTGTAGTGGAGAAAGCAGAACTCAGAAGCATCATCACCCGGCCTTCTGCAGGATGCGAGGCGCTTAGAACTGAGGGAAACTTCTACTTGGCTTGTACTGTATTTGTAAATAGTAATGCTCACCCTGCTTGAGGCTTCTGAAGATGCATGGGTTAGTGGTTACTGAACGCATGCTCTAATACCTGTGTCACAGCATGGCGAGTACTCACACGCTTCCTGCTGCATTTCAGGGCAGATGGATGTCTTTACTAAGAAACAAAGTATGTCAAAAGACTTGAGTAATTTAGTAAATCTCGGTATTTCAGAAGGCATGCTAAATATTTGGAGATGTTTTATAATACATGTTCGGTGATAGAGTTTATATCCGGTGATAAGAGTTTATATCAGAATAAGACACTAAGAAAAGTTAAAGTCTTTGCAAAGAATATGAACTGTAGTTTAATAAAACATGCAGAGAAGGCTATTTGTAAAGCCATGTTATATGAATAACCTGAAGGCTTCATCTGCTAGTTCGGGAAAGTCAGCCTTTTGCCCAGCCAGGACTTTCCAGTGAGGAATCTTGGAAGCTCAGTGTGAACTCTGGTATCATGCTAAGCTTCCTATTCAGCTTTAGCAGTAAAAGTCTTCTGTTCAGTTGAAACGTGCATTATATAAGTATCACTTAGTGCTGGAATTAGAAACAGATTTAGTATCTGAGCTGAGTTTTTAGTTCTCGGAGATGTTGAAGAAAAAGATTTTGTATAGAGCTTGCTGCTGACCCCCCTTCTGAAGAAAATCTGTACGTTCTGTAGAGGGCTTATTCACACTTTGTTAACTTGATCAAAAGTTTAGGTTTCTTAGCATTTCCTTTGTTTTCTAAGTCTGAACATACTACCTTATTATTTTGTAGATCTTCATGTCAGTTTAGTTTAGAAACTATTGGCTTAATCTATTTTAGTTATTTAAAATAAATGCTGAAGTAGTTGATGTGTATTATCAGCATTCATGAAAAAGAGATTTTTTGTATAATTCTCCAGACTATGTCAGCCAGTTAAGACAACGGACTAGATTGTGCCATGAGACTGTTTCCCTAAGTCTTCCTATTAGAAAACTGAACTAGTGCTGTGATGATGGGTTATGTCTAAGAAGTATCTCTACCGATGGCCTTGGTGAGTGTGTGTGTGTGAGAGAGAGAGAGAGAGAGAGAGAGAGAGAGAGAGAGAGAGAGTGGGG